CAGCAGGAACCCGGCTGGCCACTAATAAACACTCCCAGATCTCGACCCATCTTTACTTGATGATTGTTGGTCCGATGGTGGCCCAGTGCATCTTTCCCGCCCAGGTGCTGTAATCGGATGATCCACAGCCCTGGGAGGTCCGATGCACTGTTAGTTTACCTGATCTTAAAGTGGGACTCACCGAGGACTACCTGTTTTTTCCGCACTACCCACCAGTGAGACCAAAATTTCCACCATAAAAATGCCACCGACTCGTACTAGTGTGAGATAGGCAAAAAATCTGCCTGTCCTGCAGCCAATCAAGATGAAGGTCAAAAATCCCTATCCGGCCCCAAAGGCGACCAGGAAAACTCACACTAGAATTGGGTGGGTGGGTGCCAAAAAAAGAAGAGGACGGTTAGCGAGGAGAATGGCCTTATATAACCTGGTGTTCTCCCCATCTTAAACAACTCTTGTGATACTTTAAAATCTCACACCATCCATGGGGGGGGGGGGGGTCAAAGCATTAGTCATGCTGCCCAAAGCCTCGGTTTGGCAGTGACTTTGTCATTGGCCCCCAACTCCTGAATAAAGACGCAAGACAAGTGGCATGGATTAAAACACAGGCCACACTTAATTGATAATCATTCCAAAAATTTTGCCAATCAATTGGCAAAGGGGGGCCTGCTGTAGTGCAGAAATAGATAAATTAGTAATCATATGGGTGAGTCCCCAGCCCCAGGTTCTTGCGGTCTTAAGGACAGCAGGAACCTGGCTAGCCGCCAATAAACACCCCCAGACCTTGAGCCATCTTTACTTGATGACTATTGGTCCAGTGGTGGCCCAGTGCATCTTTCCCCCCAAGTGCTGTTATCGCATGATCCGCAGCCCTGGGAGGTCCAATGCACTGTTAGCTTACCTGATCTTACAGTGGGACTCACCGAGAAATACCTGTTTTTTCCACACTAACTGCCATAGACACACTATATTCCATGCTCGCCATTGAGCCAATCGAGCTCAACAAGCAGACACCGCCCCCCCCGGATATCTTCCAAGAAGACATCCAAACTCAAATTTTATTGAATGTTCATTATTGCCCACCATGAAAGGGGAGGGGTGTCCTGCTGTAGTGTGGAATCAGGTTTTGCACAGAGGACTCAACGGACCCCTTACCAAATAAATGGGCAGGTCCCTAGCCCCGATGTCTCATGGTCGTGAAGACAGCGAAAGTCCAGCTGGCCCATACGTGATGATCTTTCTGGCAGTGCTGAGAATCCCATCTGTTCATGGGCAGAAAAAGGCTCTCTCTACTTGTATTCCTCACCTTACTGTTGTCTCTCTGTATGTGTTAACTGGAATCTTTGCCTATGTAATACCCCCTCATGATTCTTCTTCTTTTTTGGATATGGCTTTTTCTGTGACATACTCCATAATTGCTCCCACACTCAATCCATTCATCTATAGTATGAGAAACAATGAGATCAAGGCTGCCTTGTGGAAACTTTTAAAATAGGTGTTTTCCTCTAGAGTTGTTTTCTGATCATCTAATTGTATCCTGTTTCTCTCTATTAATTTTTATCTTTAGTCTTAACACTTTGTTTTTAAGTCTTCATAAATTTATCACAATAATTCCTCTCTGAATGTTTCCTTAAATCCTATATGCTTGATTGTGTTTTTTCCGCACACTGTCTTTACCTGAATTCTAGCATTCTTGAAAGGTACAATTTTATCTGAGAGAAGCACTTCTGCTCTGCCTCTACAGAGGAGGGGAGGGGAGTCAGGGCTCACACGGACAAAACCCTGGACCCTTTTGTGTAGGAGGACCAATGACAAGTGAACCCTCCATGTAACGGCACATGGTTGCTAGCTATTCCAGTTATAATACACAGTATTTGAGGCTGAACTGGTCCTGATTCCTGAATTGAGGATTAACAATTCTTGCCCAGTATCTAATACTAGTCTGAAGTAGAAAACACTCCTTTTGTTTCAGTGGCTAAACTGTAAGTCAATACTTTTAAAAATGACACTGAGTCAATGGCTTTTTTTATTTAATTTGGGACTAAAAATTGAATCTTGATTGATAAGATCTAGCTGGTACAAAATGTGGCCACCCAACCACTGTCAATTGCCACGTTATATCAATAGGTATCATTATCTCTATCAGCATGTAACACTTTTGCTGAACTTATAAAAGATCTGTCTCTCATTTGCTGATATGCATTTATCCCGTGTGTTTGGATCAGCTTTTTATGATGTGATGGTTATGGATATTGTCAAAATTAGTGTCTAAACTTTATCACTGTTAGTTCGGAGAACCTGGTGCCTATGAGACTTTACAGCCCTCTAATTAAAAACCACAACCCTGTGTTCATTGTAAATATTGAAAACATCCGAGCTATGAAAAACTGTAGGCACAAATGTAAAACATCTTGTATATATTCTCCTTAAAATTAACCGATCTTGTAAGCTTTATATTATTTTGCCATATTTTCAACCATTGATCAATATCAATATTATGCCCTATGTTTTGTGCCCACTTAATCATACATTCTTTAACCATTTCATCTTGCATTTTGATTTCTAACAGATAGTTATACATTTTCTTAACTATTTTATCTTTTGAACCTAGTAAAAGCTTATCAAACATCGTTTGTTCTGAGTAGAAACCTTCTATTTTGTCTTTTATATATCTAGATTCTAGCTGTGCTCTGGACCACCAGTCTATGTAAATATTCTGTAACTCTAGCTCTTCTTTAGACCTTAATTCACTATCCTTTTTAAAATAAATCTTGATATCTTAAAAGTTTTGCTTTTGTCATGAGATTAGGTTGTGTAAAGGCCTCTATAGGTGATACCCATACAGGTGTTTTTTGATAAATTTGTTGTATAATCTTTCTCCACGTTCCCAATAAAGCTCGTTTTATCATATGTACATTAAAATACTTTTGCTCTTTATCCTTTTTATACCATAGATAAGCGTGCCAGCCTAGCTGTAAATCATGTCCTTCCAAGTTGAGTATATCATTTTCCAGAGTTATCCATTCTTTTATCCAATCTAAAATACACGATCTATAATACAGAACCCAATCTGGAAGACCAAAGCCAGCCCTCTGTTTGGCATCTTGCATTGCTTTAATTTTAATTCTTGGTTTTTTGCCTTGCCATACAAATCTCATGATTATCTTATTAAGTTCTTGGGAAAAGGTCTGCTTTAATATGATAGGGATTGTCTGAAATAAGAATAAAATTTTTGGCAAGACACTTATTTTAATCGTCGCAATCCTTCCCAAAGGAAGACAAAGGAGTATATAGTTATATACATAGTCACTGCAGCCAGAATTCTATATGCCAAAAATTGGAAAAGTCCGACGGTACCAAAACAAGAAGATCTTATAGAGAAGATACGGGAAACAGCGGAAATAGACATTTTATTAGAAATGATGAAGGACTGTCCTTTATAAAAGGCAATTGAAAGATAGGACTTATTCTATAAATGGATTGAGTCAACAGACATCATATAAAGAGCATACATTGAAATGAGAACTTAAATTTGGAAGGCAGAAAATAGTAAAAAGAGCAATTTGGAATTTTGACATGGCAGTATGTATAGAATGGATGTTAGTATGTCATTGTTTCTCCTTTTCCCCCTTAACCTCAATCCCCTTTTCCTTTTTGTCACCCTTTGTTAAAAATAAAATATTTAAAAAAACTGTAGGCACAAATGCATAAAAATATATGAAAACTAAAGTTGCAGGCAAATAGTTATGTCAGAAATCAATCCAAAATATAGGACCATCACAAGTACATTAAAATACCAAAAAGGATTCTTTAATTGCGTTCTAAAAATACAGAAGCCTACAGTCTGAAAAGGCACAATAAAAAAGCAGAGGATACATTTCTAAAACACATCATTTGGAAGCAAAAATCATTATAACTGTAAGTAACATTTAGTTTTTCAGCATACTATTGGACAAAGAAAATAATTTTAAGTACTCACTCAGCAAAGCCAATTTTAATCTATGGAGGGAAATCCATGCTGTCCTTTACTGTTGCCACTGTTACATGATACCTGACACTCCCTAGTACCAGTGTTGTTAATTTCCAATTTGTGTATGGTGTACAAAATGTTCCTGCACAATCACTGTCAATGGCCACTCTTTTTTCCGGCCATTGTCTCCATCAGCAAACAACATTTTTGCTGAAGGTACTGTAGTGGCTTTAGCAGACAACTTTTTGCTGAAGGTACTGTAGTGGCTGCTAGTTTTTGAGAGGCCACATTCTGTATTGCCAAATAACTCTACTGGGGGGCACAGCTTCTCCTTGTTCATCCTGCTTGACCATTGAAATCTACTACTGCTGGTTCCACATGTGTTCAGGGTCTGCTTAATTTCTCCCAGAAGTACAATATTTTGTATATCACCAGAACACCCTTGATGAATGTAAAATTTCATCTAAAGCTGTATGTGCATTTACTGGTTGTGATATTTGATGAAGAATGTTCTCTTCATATAAGCCTTTAATAACTCGCTGTATCGTAACTTTTGAATGTTTGTCTATTTCTATCCGCTGACCATCAACCCATCTCCTAAATGGAACAGTTTATGGACAAACTAACAAAATAAAATAAGTAAAACTGTGTTAAATGGTGCATAGGCTAGCTCTACTCACAGAAGGCACAGTGGGGGGGTTGAACTCTCAACCTCTGGCTCCACAGTCAGATGGGCCTCTCTGTGAGGTGCGGAGCTGCTGGGCCAGGGCGTCTTTGTCTTCCTGATCGGACAGAGACAACGCAGCATGGCTGCGTCATATCGGGCGAGGAGGCTGGGCTCAAGTGCGCCTTGAAGAAGGCTGCCCAGGTCTTCCTTGCCCTCCTTTTTCCTCCTGGAATGCTGGAAGAGCGATCGCACTGCTACGGGTCCTGGCAGTTTCAATTTTGACCGCGTGGACCACACAGAGCCCCCTTCTTGCTCTGGTGAGGAGTTGTTGGGGGGGGCTGGCTGAGAGCCTCTGCAGACTCCAACTAATTTGGTTGTTGTTGTGTTTTTGTTGTTGTTTATTATATTAAAATACATAAACACATAAATGCATAAACAAACAAACAAATAAGCATAAGAAAATGTCATAGAGGTTTAGGGGTAGTATTTTTACTTATTTTATTTATTTATTTAT